TCGTTTTTCCTTTCCACCCATTGAAAAAGTATTTGGATTTAAATGGTATAAAAAGATTTGTTGGGGCTAATTTTTATGATCAAAAGTCAATAAAAGAAGGAGATAAGAGATGGGGAGTACGGTGAAATCTTTAGGGGTTTCTTTATGCCGCTTGAAAGAAAAACGGAAGGAGGGTCTACCATGAAATAATATGAGGAATTAGGGTTCTATACGAAATTTTCCCAATAATATTTCAAGCATAACAAACATAGAACTTTTATGAAGATTTGATTACAAAAAAGGAATTTTATGAAGAAATAACATTCTCTCCTATGTCATAGGGGAGGCACGTGTATAAATCAAATGAAACTGTGAATTAGTTATGGGTGGACTGACTACTAACTGCAAAAATATAGAAAACTTGGTGGGCAAACCTTCATCTTTTAAAGGATGTGAACACAGAGAAAGTGCGTGCTTCATCAAATGTGTTGATATTTTTCTCGATGTGAGTGTATTTGTCTAATCAGCTGAAAATCAGGCCTGGTTCCTATGATACATTAGAATTACATTGCTGAGATGGGAGTTAATTCAGTTAAAAAACTCAGGAAGATTGTAGAACTGATAGAGGATTGAGTTGTATTTAAAGTTCTGTGAGCTCATTATGGAAATTTGCATATTGGAACTCCCTACAGTATGTACATGTTAACAGAGCAGTGTGGCTAAGCAATAAAGATCAAGGTTGATGTTAAGTTGTGCCAAGCAATAAAGCTTTTGTGTGAGGTGCTGTACATAATGATTAGAACACTCTCTAATTCAATAAACAGAATATCCTATGAAATTTAGTTGGTTGAGAACCTGAGTTTGGTCATTTTGGGTTTTGGAGATGCCTGATGTTGAACTTCTAGAAATGAGAAACAAGTTTTCCAAGGCTTTTGAAATGCAGAAATAATGCAAAAGTTTGGCACAGTAGTCTCTATGCATAAATGGCTCAAGATTCATTAAGAAACCACTGCAATCCAACATTCCCTTATAATTGTAGAGGCGTACAGGTTTGGAGAGACTTATGTGTTCATTTTATGTCCATGTTCTTGGAATACTTCGCTCACTTGAAATTGGAGATCCAAGGAACATGTTTTTTATCTAATTTCCATTTTGGTCATGAAAAAGAATTATTGTAACGTAGTTCGTGTTAACTAGTATCTTAATGAAAAATGTGTAGCTTTAAATATCAATCCCACATTTGTCACGTGATAATCCCCAAATTACCAAAATATATTCACTTGGTAATGATCATAATACCTTGCGGACACCATTTCCTTGTTTTTGGTCAGCTGCATTTTGTATCTTAATCTACCCCACAGTAACATTGTCTTTTAATGACTGATCACTTGTCGTTATGATAGCCATTGATGAATGTGCGTGTGCCTTTTATATATTATTAAGTGATTGCTCTGAAGGTTTATTTTGGTAGATAGTTTTCTTTTATCAATTTGGTTAGTTTTTATGATTTGCATATTCATTCTGATCGTCTTTAGTTACCAACATTAGGATGCAAGAAAAGAAAACTCCAAATTGATGAGACCTTCCAAGAGTTTGCTTTGACCATTTGAGAAAGCTTAAAGGTGGTCACTCAGATATCTGGTGAACTATAAAAGTTATGCATGTCAAATTGTTAGTAGGGCTTTCAAGCCTTCAGGAGTGTTGTCATCAATTCTCTAATCCTTCATCTTGTTGCTTTCTTCTCAACATACAAGCTGCATGGGACTTCCTCACAATAAGGGAAGGTTTATACCAGTATCGGGTGCTTTATGCCATATGGTACTAGTACATCCACCCTTCTTTCTGTCTGGAAGGTTTAGACCTGTATGGGTGAGTGTCCCTCTGGGCCCCATTCCAGTTAATCACTGACATCTGTCAGTGGAAAACCAGTGGATGTAGCATGGAATACCCATAAAGAATGGTCCATTTGACTGTTGGTATACTTTCTCTGGACTAGTATTCTAATGAATACTATATTATAGTACAGTGGACTACAGAAAACAATAGTCCGCTGGGATAATGATACTCCAATAAAATAATGGGTGGTGCTGGACATAGAGTATTGGGTCATTATCTTCTTCGTGGGTCCCCCCCCCTTCCATCATCAATTTTCATCAAACAATGACCTCAACAGGTTATGGTTTGCTTTAGTCCTTTAGACTATGATATTCTCCCTATATTGCTATCTTCATTTATTAATGACTGCGTAGTCTCCAAGTTGACTGGTTCCAGGGGTTGCGGCCGTATTGGTTGGAGCCGGATCCATCAGGGTCTGGGTTCAGACTTGGATCTAACCTAGTCAGGTCGGGGTTTCGGGTCAAACTAACCTTGTCATGATCAATGTATATAAAAGAAAGGGTAGCTGTGTCAGATCATCCCGTGGTTTGCCTAGTCAAGCCTAATCATGTCTGAGCCTAAAGCTACCACCTGGACCCAGCAGGTCCGGTCTAGCAGATCTGGCCATCCAGGTCCAAACTTGGCCTATAACTGGACCAGATCTGGGTCAGCGATGAAGCTGGCTGGTACCCAACCTATTGACAGACCTTACTACTAATGATAGCATTGTGACTTAAAATCTCCCTTTATTTGCAGGTGGCACAGTCTCGCTTCAACCATGCAGGGCAGCTCCTTGGCAATGGAAACAACAGCCCACACTTACAAGAACCGCCATCAGGTCTCATCGATAAGGAACAACCAGGGGGCCCTATGGTCACAAAGGCTCCGCCGCAACCGGGCCCATCATTCCCTTCTGAAAACCCCAACCATATAGACGAAGACCACCGCAAGACTGCCGCCGCTGTGGCCGCGAAGCTGGCCGCTTCAACATCCTCTGCCCAAATGCTTACCTATGTTTTATCATCTCTTGCATCAGAGGGGGTTATAACCAACCCTTTGGCTGAGGCCCCCTCCTGTTCTAATGACTACCCTCCTGATAAAAGGCCCAAACTCGATGGTGGGTCTGGTACCACTACAACGACAACCTCCTCTTTCATTCATCCTCCTCCACCTCCATATATACACCCTGATGCCCTTCAGAACAGTGCAGGCCCGCCTCTTTCAAGCTCATCACAAGTGGGGCCTACCATGAATCCTGGCCCTCCACCTCTGCCGCCACCTCCTCTAGGGGCCCACCAGTTTGTGCAGGTGCCCGGCCCCATGACAGGGGTCTCTTACAGTTATGGCACCGGGGCGCCACTGGGTCCCCCGCCTTTGCCTGGTGGATATCCTTTGCCAATCTCAGGGCTCCCGCCATACCCAGCCCCGCCACCAAACACTTACCAGAGTTTTCAGGGAACAGAAGGTGGTGGGTTCTATGTGCAACCTTCACAGCTTCCTGCCGTGCCCCCCATTTCTAGGCAATGAAATTGTGGCCATACATTTGCTGATGGAACCCTGGGAATTCGATCTCGTGTGACCATTTGGTAAGTTATTCAGGCAGTTGCCAGGTCTAAGAGGGGTTCAGACAGTCTAGGAAAGGGAGAGAGGATATTGACGAGTTGGTTTCCTGTGTGTATGTTAAGCATGTAACCTCACGTAGTCAGCCGTCCTCTATTGCATGTGTTAAAGGTCGTCTTAGGTAACCGTTGATGTTGTAAATTAACTCTTTTTTTCTTTTATTCCTTGCTTTATTGTGGGATTTGGATGATTGGAAAGAGTTCGATGTTAGATTGTTTTATCACTGACAGAAGAATTGATGGTTGGATTTTTTGTTCTTGGAGTGACATGAGTTAAGTCTTTACCTGTTACAAACGGTCATATGAAGTTCAAACCATGCTGAAAGGGACCATGTGAGAGCCTTATGTGCACCATTGTTGGGGAGGGACCATGGCTCTCATGAATTTGTATATTGTGGTTGTTCCTGCCAGTTCCCATTCGTCTGATTATCTATCAGATGGATGGCAGGGCTCACATCCACCTGACATGAGCTGCATCTCATGGTCGTCTGATTTTTCAATCGAATGGATGGGAGCCATGGTTCACCTCCACTTCACGTGAGCACATGAGAGAGAGAGAGAGAGAGAGAGAGAGAGAGAGAGAGAGAGAGATTTGGACGGTGGCTCAGTTTTTAATATTGTTACACCTTAATAATTATTACTTTGATTAGCAGTGCATGAGGGTAGACCGGAAGAATGGTGATTCCCCCTAAAATACGATTCTAAAGTTTCTTTATTTGTTATTTTCTTTGAATATGATAGCTTTTCAAAGTAGTAGTCCTTTACAAGATGTAGTATGGAATAGAAATTTAATAAAAATAGAGAAAACTGGGACAGAAAGATGTAAGCCCTGTTTAAATGCATGGGCAAGCAGTAGCACCAAGTAGGCTCTTTGAGAATGGAAGCAAAACTCCTGCCAAAAAAATTGGCGCAATACTTGTATGTTGCACAAAAAAAGCTTTTTGTGGTTCTTGTATGCCTATGCAAACTGGACCTTAAGGAGCAAAGAATAAAAAGAACAGGAGGGTCATAAGACAAATTAAGAGGTGGTGTCATTGTGATTCCATCTGCTCATTTATCGTCGCTTACAAGCAAGAAAATTTCCATATTCCCTAGTGTCTTTTTCACTCTTGATGGGTGCGTGATTGGATGCTTGTCATGCTTATATTTGAAGTTATAAAACCCCGCAATCTGGGTCGAGAATCGTTGATCTTGATCGGATCCAATGGGTGGGCGATTTGGGTCCCCACTCGTGCAATCCCCCATTTTTATGTTCTTTTTTGGGGAAAGGACATACCCCCTCTCTAAAATCATTATTCGAAGTAACCTCCCCGGTCCATGAAAAGTCCGTGGATCCCACCTCCAAGTAAAAAAAGGGGTTATATAACCTCTTGTTTTTCATGTCCAAATTACAATATTTCTTTGGGGAGCGATTTCATACAACGGTTTCATAATGTAATATAATGAAACAAGCTTAAAAAACTATGCTAGGGCTTCAGAGGACGGCTTTTCCTTTTGAATTTTTTTTAGATGGCTTTACTATCGCTAGATAAACTTGTTAAAAGAAAAAAATATTTTGAATTTGCAAAAGCCAATATCTTAAATTTTACCAAATAGATGGTCAAATTCATTGCGTTGGTGGATACTCATTTTGATCATATAAAAAGTGCAATTTTTTTTTTTTTTGTAAGGATTGATTATTAGAATGAAGATGGGCTATGTGCAATTTTTGAGATCGCAAAAATGCAACATAGTTTTTAGAATTGTGGCTTCATTATATTACAATAATGGAAAAGTATACAATGAGATCATTTACCTTTGGTACAAGGTGGTCACAATTAATCTTGACTATTGGATATGAAATTGGATGACTGCATTTATTCCACTGACCAAGCTCAAACTTCAAAAGAAATTTTCTCGAACTATTTCACACACCCAAGCTATAAGATTTCACATCGGATGGTTATAAGTAATTATGATCTCCTTGTATTAAAGGTAAATGATCTCATTGTATTCAATTCCTACAATGACACGGTGACATGAAATTACTCCCTTTTATTTATTTTTATTGTTTTAGTGATCCCTTTATCGAAACCATATAAAAGCCCTCCTTTCTTTGTCTTTCTTCCTCGCTCATGAGCGTCTTCCTCCCTCCCTACTTCTCCCTTTCTCTTAAATTCCCCTCAACCCTCTTTGGTAGAGCTTACGAGTAGGATAAAAGAAGCATCTCAAATTCCATTTATATGATATTGTCCTTAAAAAAATGATAAATATCGTAATTTTGATAGATCTCCGGACTTTTCATCCACCTAGGGATTATATAAGATTATAATTTCGGAGAGGGGGCCATGCCTTTTTCCCTTATGTTTTTTGAACCAAATTTTCACCTATTCGGCCCAGATCGCTGATTTGACTGCTGAGGACCAGTATAGGGTGTTGCTCAGGCTTTAAAAGATTGGGTTATACTGTTGTTCAAATCCGACTGTTTCTTTTAGTAATTGGGCTTGGGCTTGGGCTTGGGCTTGATTTATTAATTTTGGACAATTGGTAGGCTCTGTCTCAAGTTCGTAAAACAATGATTGGGGTTGCCTTAAACCATATGTTTTCCTCTCATATTTACATAAATGTAGTGTTATATTTGATTCATGAGCTTTTCAAGGAACATTGTCATGCCTTATGGTGTATCCAATGCGTCCCTTCCCGTAAGTTAATCATGGGGATGCTTTGGAGCTCTTGGTCTCCTATGTAGAGCTACCAAAATGAATAAAAGAGCATGAAATGAGGAGAAAGTCTCCATGCAAGTATCCATATCAGTGATTCAAAATTCGGATTAGAGGGTTGGATCGTTTACCCACGAATCTGTGTTGGATTATTAGAGCAGCAATTCAAATCGGCTCTGAATCGGTCCGACATAGTGATCCAGAAGATATTAACAAGTAAAGGGAAAGTTTTTCTATAAACCTTAATTTGGTGTTCCATATCCCGGTGGACCCACAAATTGAAAATATATCTAGCGGCGGCATTAGTTTTTAAAAAATGCTATCTTCTAACCCCCTAGATATATTTGATCTTATTTTATGATTTTCTTACGTCCCCAAAACGCTCTAGCTTATAAATGAAGTGGGGGGATAAAAAAATGAGAAAGAAAGAGAGCTCGTCATTTCAAAAATTGTTTGGAACTTTAAAATGTCATAAAACATGACCAAATGGGTTTATGGGGCCAGGAAATAATTATTCTGAAAGACTAACACTACTAGGTACTTTTCTAACTTATGAGTCTACTGAGAAATGATACATCAAATTAGGGCGTACCAAAAAGTTTCCAAAAATAAATGAAACAAAAAAAAAATTAAATAGGATTTTATAGGGTGGGGGTATAGAAGGGCCTAAAAAAAGATTAAATAAACTTTTTAAAAAAAACTATACATACATAAGGGAGGCTTTAAGGGTGCCGTGGCCTATAATGTCCTAGGATCAGTTCAGTCTTGATCAATTCCCATCCTGATTGGCCATTCAGATCGGAAATCGTCAGGTTTTAAAGCGTTGATCCTCATACGATAGTATATCCAATTGTTAAGATGGCCAAAATGCTATCCATACCTCACAAATTTAATGTATATTAAAAGATAACATCTTGTAGCCAACAAATTTAATGTATATTAAAAGATAAAATAGTTTGAAGAAAAAAAAAAAAAAACTCTAATGATTCAATTCCTAATAGATCACATCAATTATTGACGAGCATGAGCTTTCCATACTTACATTGTAGTTTTGTGCCTTGGATCGCTCAAGACCATGGTGTCCTCATCCTTATCCACAGTCCGGGGACACGCACACACATACATACAAATTGAGAGAGAGAGAGAGAGATTGATTAGGGGGGTTATAAATTATGAATAAAATTGGACACGCGCAGACACATACAAATTGAGAGAGGAGGAGGGGTAAATTATGATGAAATGCAAAATTTAGAAATCTTGAAATTATATGGCAAGTATGCATGTGATGAGTTGTGTGTGTGAGAGAGATGTAAAGTATGGTGAAAAGACAAAAAAAAAAAATTAAGAGAGAGTGATAATTTAAAGGTAAAGGAGTTAAGAGAGAGAGAGGGGTACGATTGCAAAGGGAGTGGAGGGTTGAAGAAGAATGGAACATATTCCTGAATCATTGCAATAGAAGAAGGAGAGGAATGATGAAGTGAAGGAGTGCCACATGGGGTTAAAACTTAGGTCTCCTTTGGCTTCAATTGGGAAGAAATGAGAGCTTGCATGGAGGTGAAGGGTGGGATTGGAGGCACAGAGAGAGAGAGAGAGAGCGTTGTCTTTGGTCAAACAAAGTTAGGGGAGGGAGAAGTTCTGAGTTTTCAGGCCTTATCAGGTTTGGAACATGGGAAGAAGCAGAAAGGTGCCACGCCTCGCCTCCCCTCCCCTCCCCTCCTTTGTTTTCTTTTATGGCTTCCCACTTTTCCACCTTCCTTTCCATTGCTTATGCCTCGGACAACTCATCATCATCTCTCTCTCCACACACACGTTCCATTGAGCGTTCTCAAAACACCAACCGGGTTTCAATTTTGATGGTCCCATGGGGTATCATGTAAAAATTTAACAAAAAAAATTATTAAATTCCAAAAAATAAAGGATGTTTTTTTGTACTGTGTTTTTTTTTATCATTTGGGTAAATATTGTAAAGTGTTTTCTCTATGAATACTTAATTTTATATTTTTTTTTATAAATATTTCAAAAATATCTCTGGACACACTACTTTTTCAAATTTTTTAAATTTTTTTTATATGTTTTATTTTTTTAACGCTTTTTAGACGAGCCAAAACCTGTCCAAATGTACTGGCCGGTTTACTGGTTACTCGGACCAGGCCCTTGGCCTATTCCATTTTTTTGAACACTACTGTAATTTGAACTTGAAACAAACATGAAGTCTTCTCCTCTCTAATTTGAACTTCCAAGTCTTTCTCTCTCTCTTTCTCTCATTTGAACTTCAAACAAACATACGCTCTCTCTCTCTCTCTAGAGCCTAAAAAGCAATTCAATTCCCAACCTTTTATAAAAAGCGATGCGTGGTGAATCTTGAAGACGGATTTCCATTGTCGTCATACTTTGACCATAATTTCATCTTAAAAGAACCCAAATACGTTTCCCAAAAATCAATGTCAGTCATAGGTTTGGACCCAACGACCATTTTTTCCGTTTCCAATTCCCTCTATATAACTGGACATAAAAACACACTTGCTTTTTGTTTCATACTCCACGTTTCCAACTTATATTTTATTCTAA